TCCTTTGTTCTGGGCTTATGGGTTGTTATTGAATATTATTGTTTAACGGTTAACGATATTACAAGATTCTATCATATTGATTTATTTATTTCTTGCGCTCAATTTTTTTTACTGCTTAGCTAACAATAGAATACCATCTACAAATTTATAGTTGAAGTCGATAGTGGGAACTATAAATTACATATAAAATTGAATAGAGTAAGTTCTTGAATCCGGGTATCAGAGAATAGATTCACGATAAGGATTGAAATATTCTAGTTTGCCTTACTTGGTTATTTTTGCAGGAGATATACATTCATTCTAGTTAACTATGATTCTGTAGACGTATAGTATTAGGTTAGCTTGAATAAATTAATACGGAACGAAATGGAACAGTAACTTGCAGCAAAAATAAATACGGAACTCAATTATCTTGCTAGTACTCAGCTATAACCAATCTTTAAGAGAGTTACAATGCTATAGAAATAAGTCACAGCTGAAGAAGAAAACATAACCAACAAAATGATGCGGCGCGTATTCCGATCCCACCATATAATCAGTAACAATATGAACATTCACCCTTATTACTCCTGTTGCGGCGTGCAAACCAATCCCACCAGTCCACCCTTATTACTCCTCAATATATCACCCTTATTCCTTCTGTTGCGACGTGCAACCCGATCCCACCAATCCACCCTTAATACTCCTATTTGCGGCGCGCAACCCGATCCCACCAGACAATCACATTTCACCCTTATTTCTCCTCAATATATCACCCTTATTCCTTCTGTTGCGGCGTGCAACCCGATCCCACCATATCAGTACCAATCACACAATAAGAACAAGTATTCCACAATTTAGCTCAAGACCCTCCACAATATTTATGCATCAAACCAAAGCAAATAGAAGGCTATACACTTGTGAAACTTTACTAGGCGGACCAAAGAATCCTGAAGTACCGGAGTAGCGATGAACCCCTCTGGAACCTGAGCTGGCCTTGCTGAAACAGTCTGGGCCGGAGCATCCTCATCAAACTCTACCTGAGGCTCCGCTGCTGGTGCTGCTGCTCGAGCTCTGGGCTGAGCCCTGCCCCTGCCTCGGCCTTGGCCTCGTTCTCTGCCCCTCGTAGGAGCTGCCATTGGGGGCTCGGGCTGCTGATCAGCTGATGAAGCGGTTCGTGTTCTCCCCATCTGCAAAGGAACAAGAGTAGAGAGTTCAATTAACATTGAGAGACCAAATCGCACGACATAGAAGAATAGAAGTAAAATTGTTCCTAACTCCGTAGCCTCTAGGGGATAAGTACAGACGTCTCCGTACCGATATCTCAGACTCTACTAAGCTTGTTCGTGAATTGTGAGACCTAGGCAACCTAGTGCTCTGATACGACCTTGTGACGACCCGAATTTTCCACCGCCGGGACCGTGATGGCGCCTAACATCGCACTCGCTAGGCAAGCCAACGTTAGAGTTCTACTCACCTTTTTCCTTTACATTTTATAAGTTAACATTTAACAAAACTAATGAAACTGAAATAAATGCGGAAGTACATAATTAACCGGTTCTCTATATGCTATTAACAATACCGAAATTGTTACCATCCAGAAACTGGTGTCACAATTCACGAACATACTACAAATTACTACAAATGCTGGTCTGAAAGAAATTACATATGTCTCGAAAGAAAAGAAAATAGGAAAATAGAAACATAGGAGGGGACGCCAGGTCCTGTGGACGCCAGCAGGACTACCTTGGGTCTCCTGGATGAAGTATCTGCAACCGACCTCTCGATCAGCCACTACCAGCTCCAAAATCTGCACAGAAAGTGCAGAGTGCACTATTAGTACAACCGACCCCATGTACTGGTAAGTGCCGAGCCTAACCTCGACGAGGTAGTGACGAGGCTACGGCGAGGCATTTACGATATAATCTTGCATACAGTATATAATAGAGCAAAAGGAAGTACGGAATGAAATGGAACAGTAACTTGCAGCAAAAATAAATAGGGAACTTAATTATCTTGCCAGTACTTAGCTATAACCAATCCTTAAGAAAGTTACAATGCTACAGGAATAAATCACAGCAGAAGAAGAATACATAACCAACAAAATGATGCGGCACGCATCCCGATCCCACCATAAAATCAGTAACAATGTGAACATTCACCCTTATTACTCCTGTTGCAGCGTGCAACCCGATCCCACCAGTCCACCCTTATTACTCCTCAATATATCACCCTTATTCCTCCTGTTGCGGCATGCAACCCGATCCCACCAGACAATCACATTTTACCCTTATTCCTCCTCAATATATCACCCTTATTCCTCCTGTTGCGGCGTGCAACCCGATCCCACTATATCAATACCAATCACACAATAAGAACAAGTATTTCACAATTTAGCTCAAGACCCTCCAAAATATTTATGCCTCAAACCAAAGCAAATAGAAGGCTATACACTTATGAAACTTTACTAAATTAACACTACACAACGAGACCAGCCAAAATATACTTATGAAACACCGATAAACCAACTTAAACCAATAGTGTAACACAATGAGACTACGGAACAATTACTATCTCCAATGAAGAAAACAACATCTAGCAAGAAGCAATTAAACATTGAAGCACCAATAAGCATGTAGCAATTAAGACAGGAAGACAATATAATAGGAACGGGGAAGGGAACAGGCTAAATAGATAATTTGGCGGTGCATAGGTACTCGTCACCTCACCTATACACCACACACACGGATTTTCACGTAGCAAATAAGTCGGAGATCCCTAATCCCTCGAGTCAAAGTTAGACACAACACTTACCTCAATCCAACGGCCAACTCAATTACCGTTTTTCCTCTAGATTCCACCTCCAACCCACTCGTATCTAATCGTAATCAACTTAATAACATCAATTATCGCTAAAGAAATCAATTTCAATGCATAAGTATAAGTTTCCTAATATTTTCCCAAAAAAGTCAAAAATCGACCCCGGGCCCGCTTGATCAAAACCCGAAATTCAGATCAAAACCCGATTACCCATTCACCCTCGAGCCCGGATATACAATTGGTTTTTGAATCCGACCTCAATTTGAGGTCTAAATCCCCAAATTTCGAAATTCCTAAGTTCTACCCAAAAACTCTTAATTTTACCATAAAAACCCTAGATTCTAGGATGAAATCTTGTAAAAAGATGTAATAGATTGAAAGAAATGAGTTAAGAATCATTTACCTATGATTTGGGGAAGAACTAGCCTTTGGAAAATCGCCTCTTGAGGTTTAGGTTTTGAAAAATGGGAGAATTAATGAAAAATCCCGTCCAAAATCGTTTTTGAACAGTGGCAGATATCGCATTTGCAATCAGGGGTTCGCAAATGCGAACCTTGCAAATGCAGACATCCCTTCGCAAATGCAAAGAATGTCCAGGACCAGCTACTATCGCAGATGCGAACAACTATTCGCAAATGCAACATGTTCTTATCGCAATTACGATCCCGAGCTTCGCAATTGCGAAGGTCCCCTCGCAGCTCTTCTGATCGCAAATGCGAACATCTTCGCAAATGCGATGCTCGCATTTGCGAGCCAGACTTCACAAATGCGAAGTCTGCAGACCTGAAGCATACCAGCAAAACTCCTTAAGTCCAAATCACTCCGTAGCCTATCCGAAACTCACCCGAGCCTTCGGGGCTCCAAACCAATCATGCACACAAGTCTTAAAACATCATACGAACTTGCTCATGCGATCAAATCGCCAAAATAACACCTACAACTATGAATTTAGCACCAAATTGCATGAAATTTGCAAGATAGTTTCAAAACTTCTATTTTCTCAACCAAATATCCGAATCACGACAAGTCTGTTCCGTTTCTCACCAAACTTCACAGATAAGGTATAAATATCATAATGGACCTGTACCAGGGCTTCGAAGCCAAAATACGGACCCGATACCAACGAGATCAACTATTAACCATTTTCTCAAAACCATTATAATTTCAGTTTTATAATTTTCATCATTTCTCGGGCTAGGGACCTCGGAATTTGATTCCGGACATACGTCCAGGTCCCATATTTTACTACGGACCCAACGGGACCGTCAGAATGCGGGTCCGGGTCCGTTTACCCAAAACGTTGATCGAATTCTACAAAAAATCAACTTTTTAGGCCAAAAATTATTATTTCCTCAATTTTTCAGATAAAAGCTTTTCTGATATAAGTTCGGACTGTGCACGCAAATCTAGAAGAGATAAAATGAGGTTTTTAAGGTCTCAAAACACGAAATCGAGTTCTAAAACAGAAGATGACCTTTTGGGTCATCACAAAAACCCACCGTTGATGTCATTTTCTTTTGTAAAATTGTTTAAGAAGTGCGCGAAAAGCAATTCCATGCCTACCCATCTTTTTCAAATTTCATCATCACTACTTAGTCCAAAGTCGAAACAATAAAAAAAATTTGGCCAGACTAAGAAAAGAAATATTACATGTTCTTATAGCTTATTAACAACCACAACGTACGAAAATATTTATTTATTCGGGCCTCTAGACAATTACCAGTCGTTCACATTTATATACTACAGTATATCATCAACAAATAAATTGGTTATGAAAGTTCTTGAACATTTCATATTTACTTAAAACTATTACACATTTCCCCTTCCCTCTTTGTCTAGAGGTTGGGATATGGGCGAAAGAAGGTCCATCTAAACCTCTTCATCGTAAAATTATATTATATATAAAGAGTCAATTTATGTATTTATATTAGACGTTATCCTCTTAACTTCTTCCCAGTATTTATTTTTTTGAATTTCCTTTATGAAAAATTCTGCTTCTGCAACTAACGGAGTTTCTTCTCTTATTATCCTTACGAACATAAAAGAAGCCTTTAGAATTATTGTGCTTCTTTTTCAAATAATATCATAAACTAAACAAAAGAAAAGTGAAACTGTGGTTTAAATTAAAAAATCTCCCCATTGTGACTTATACGAGACTTCAAAATGCTTGACGTGGAAGGCGAATGAAAGAATCTATAAGGAAAAAAAAAAGAGAAAGAATCAGACGGCTCAGATTCACTTTCTATTTCTTCCCATCCCATTTCTCTCTCCACCCCCTCATTCTATTTCTTCTTCAAAATCTCTCCCATAATTCACTCTTCTATCTCTGAAAACACTAACACCCAGAAAAGAACATTTAAAAAGAAGAGCAAAATGAAGGGGTGATATTATTAATTCTTAATTTTATTTACAAGAACTAATTTCTTTTAAGAAGAAGAAGAAGATGATGTTGGGTAAAAGAGGACGTCCACCGATGAGGAGGACAACGAGCATGACAGGGATCACCGTTGATATAGGGACAGGGACTGGAAGTGAACAAGAGCCGTCTGATTATAGGCCTAAAGTTATGGTTGATCATGATCAGTTTAAGGGTTCATCAGAGAAGCAAGTAATGATGAGCAGTACTACTACAAGTGGTATGGCGGCGATGGTGTCGCCGAGATACCAAAGGAGAATTTCAGGCGAAGGTTTTCAAACTGAGACGGCTAATTTCTTGAGAACTTGTGGTCTTTGTAACCGCCGGTTGGCTCCCGGACGAGACATCTACATGTACAGGTACAACTTTTTACAAATAAATGAGACAGAAAACAAACACTAAAAAAAGATGTGATTTTCGTATAATACGACTTCCGTCCAATTTTATGTGATACAGTTTTTTTAGTTTAGTTTAAAAATGTGACATACAGTCAAACCTCTCTATAACATCTTCGTGTGTTCCGATATTTTTTAATTGCTATAGTAAAGTGCTTTTACATAAGACATACTCCATTAACACAATATAAAAATCAATTCCGAGAAAAACTTGACTTTTATAGGGAATAACTATTATATAGGGATGTTGCTATAAAAATATATTTAAATATTTAAAAATAATTTATTTTAAAATTTCTGTTAAATATCATGATATGTTTTAAATCAGAAATTTTAAAAAGTTTTTGTAAAATTGATGACATATTAAAAGATTTATATGATTATTTAAAAGACTGAAATACTTGTGGAGTCGAAGAGGAATGAGTAATAGGTCGAAAAACATAACTGGATCTTATAGCGAAAAACCTCATCTTCCTATTGATTTTCTTTTTAGCACTTATCTTACCGAAAAAAAAAGCTAACAAAACAAAAGAAAAATGACTGAAGAAATTATTTGGGAAAGTGACATTGTATAGTCGCTTTCAAAATAATAGTCAAGAAAATGTATATTTTTTGTATATATACACATTTCTGTATATTAGATACAAAAATTATCCAAATTTTATACGCATTTTCGATTATCAATTGTAAATAGTTTCTGCCACGTGCTAAAACTGACCTTTGCCCAAACTAATTCTCTAAGAGATATGTTTTCAACTTGCATATTGGGCCTGAATAACAACTTTCATGGAAAACTTCTATATTTCTCCTACAGTAAACATATATTTGAAAAGTATATATATATATATATATATATATTGGAAATGTTAAACTCTACCTCTTGATAGAACATAAACTGAGACCTTCCTCAAAATTGTATGGGAAAGAAACCAGAATCAGTACACTGAATATCAACAGACAAGATATGGGTATTTGAATAACATAGAAAAATAAATATGTAACTATAAACAACAACAACAACAACAAACCCAATGTATTCCCATAAATAGAGTCTGGGGAGGGTAGTGTGTACGCACACCTTATCCCAACCTTACAAAGATAGAGAGGCTGTTTCCAATAGACCCTCGACTCAAGGAACAGAAAATATGTAACTATGATTAAAGAAAAAAGAAAATAATAACTTTAGTTCTTAAAAGGCTTGTTACATTATTGGTGTATTACTTTATTGCATTATGAACATTAATCAAGGAATTCTTTTCTTATTTTTATATTTTTGTTGGTCTGGCCAATTATTGTTATAAAGAAAGATCTCAGCAATAATATATTTATATGGTTTAATTTATTCATTTATTTTTGCTGTATGGGTACAGGGGTGATACCGCATTTTGTAGTATGGAGTGTAGGGAACAACAAATGAAGCAAGACGAAAGAAAAGAGAAATCCAATTATAAGCGTAACTCAAACAAGACAGAAAACCATCACAATCACTCAGAACTTCCTTCTGCCAACTCTGAAACTTCCAGCAAGAGCGAAACTATAGCAGCAGCTTGAACGAAGAAGGAAAAAAGAATGATATGTAAATGAAAGAAAGCTATGTAAAGTTAATATCCATGCACGTAATTAAGGAATATGCTTGTGAGTTGATTGGGTTTTTAGGGGTTTTGAGTTTTCATTTTCTTTTGTGGCTTCAGCGATCCAATGTATTGTAACTTGTAAGTGGACAAAAATTTGGAAAAATAAAAGTAAAAAAAGGCAATGCTAAGAAATAGTGTAAACTTATAAATTTTTATGCTAAGAAATGTGATTCGTGGAGGTCAAGTACCACATATTCTTAAAGTAAAAATGACTGTATATAGTTTTGTTGATATATGGACTAGTAAACTTCATACAGCCTCCACAACCACAAGATCATTGTTATTACATAAATGATAAATGTCGCTCTGAATAAAGAGGCAATTATGCTTCCCCATCAACTATAGATGAAAGGAGAGAGAATAAAGAGCGAAAAAACAGATTAAAGTTTTAAGGACTAAAAATTGTATTTCTAATAGAGAAAGGCGTTCCTGGCTCTAATTGAGCTAAGACAACACAGATACACCTAGTAAATAGAGGGCCAACATACAAAAACGACAAAGAAATTTATATGAACATTCATGATTCAACTTGGCCAGCCATTGAACAACAGCTATATACCTCGAAGGCGCGCATTGATCGAGCGAAGAATTACAGTTCCCAGCTCTCACATTGAGAAAGACTACTAGTCTAATTTCACTCGATTAAATAAATGCACCCTAACAAAACTTATTAGTACTCTTACACAATTCTTCAATTTTAATGCCATACTCATCTCTATCCCTAACCGGCTCTTCCATTTATCTCGACCTAGACTACTCTTAGTTTTGATAATGATAAACCATCACTTAAATATACATTTGAGAAAATAAATAAATAAATAAATAGGGCGAATCCAGTTGAACGGTAAATAAGCCGACTCAAAGAAATTGGTCACTATAACAATCCGACCGGTCGTTTTGAGCATTTGCATTCAATTCGGTGGTTTGAGGTCGCGAATAGCTTCACATGGTGTATTATGATTTGTGCGTATCGTTGGTTTTGATTTTTGAGTGGTACGGGATTGATTTGGATGAATGATTCTCATTTTAGAAGCTTTAAGTTGGAAGAATGGATTGAGTTTGACTTTTGTGTATTTGACCTCGGAACGGAGTTCTGATGGTTCCGATAGGTCCGGATGGTGATTTTGGACTACGACGTATGCGCGGATTTGCATTTAGATGTTTCTAGAAGGTTTCAGCACCATTTGCCGAAAGTTTAAATGTTTAGACTTTTCCTAAGTTTGACTATGGTTTGACTTTATGGCTATCCGATTCGAATTTTGATTTTGGGACTTGAAATAGGTCCTCTTCGCTATTTGAATCTTTTCTGTAAAATTTGGTGTCATTTGGAGTTGGTTTGATATGGTTCGGACAATTGGTGGCAATTCTTGAAGTTCTTGAAGTTCATTGTAATTTTCATGTGTTTTGGTGTCCGACTCATGGTTTCAGATGTTATTTTGGTGTTCTGATCGCGTGAGCGAGTTTGTATGATATTTTTAGACTTGTGTTGATTTTTGGTGTGGAGGCCCGAGGGCTCGGATGAGTTTTAGATGCGTTCCGCGGAGGTTGTAGAAGGTTCAGTAGGGGTGGGTGTTCCGTCGGTTCGGTTCGGTTTGAAGAAATTCGGTAGGGTTATTTGATTTTCGATTTTGTAAAAGTAGTAACCGAAACCGAAACCGAACTGAAATAAGTTCGATTTTCTAATTTCGGTTCGGTTTATTTCAAATCAATTTTCGGTTCGAACAATTATTTTATTGGGCTCCTTCTATGTAATATAGGACTAGCGAATTTATTGTATTTTTTCAAAAACTTCAGACTTCTTGAAAATACTGTGTTTATAAAAAAAGTAGACTAAGCTTTGCACACTATTATGGATCATAAAATTCAAACAGAGTGCAAATTACATCTCTGTGTGAAATCTTCATAGACTAAGCTTTGCACACTATTATGGATCATAAAATTCAAACAGAGTGCAAATTACATCTCTGTGTGAAATCTTCCAGGTATACTATCATATATGCTATGGATGTTTTAATAGAGTGAAATTCTTTAAGATTGGGAAGCTGATGAACTTACTTATTTGGGTTTGGTCGATGGATTAGGCCTAATAGTATTAATTTATTACCTATGGTCTTAGCCTATATATAACTTAAAGAATCTATATGCTAATAATTCAGTTTTTCGGTTAACCAAACCAAATAAATTAATAACCGAAAATCGAACCGAAAAACTGAAATTTTAAAATTTTAAATTAAAACCGAGCGAAATAACCGAATAACTGAAACCGAAATAAAAATATTTTCGGTTCGGTCGGTTTCTTCGGTTCTGATCGAAATAGGCCCACCCTTAGGTTCAGTTGTTACTGGTGCTCTGTTCTCGCTTTTTTGAGGTTTTCATTGCATTTGCGTTGTTGGGCTGCACGGGAGTGATCTCTCTTTTGCGAGGAAATCATCACTTTTGCAATGTTGACTCAAGCCAGCAGAGTTCACAACTCTAGATCACATTTGCGATAAAGGCCTAGGCTGGGGAAGAGTCACTTTTGCGGCCAACTGGTCGCTTTTGCAAAAAGACTAGTATTCGCTTTTGCGAAGGGTTCACCACTGTTCAAGCTTTTCTTTTGTGAAGGCTTCTTCGCTTTTGCGAGGGTTCGCAACATGTCGCAAATGCGACATCTGCATCTTGTTTATAGTTGAGTATTTCGAGACTTAGTTTCATTTTATCATATTTTGAACCTTAGACTCGGTGAGAAGCAATTCTGTAGAGGAATTTTCATCTACAAACATTGGGTAAGTGACTCTAATCAATTTTCAACTATATTTCATGATTATATTATATTTAACATCAAATTTATGAGAATCAAAGAGGGAAATCGGGGATTTTTGTCAAAGTTTTGAAAAGTGAAGATTTGAGTTTTGAGTGTCGATTTGGATTTGAATTTAAAAACAAAATACATATGTGGACTCGTGGGGTTATAGGTAATCAAGACCTACCCTTGGAACCGGATTTTGACCAGGCGAGCCCGGGGTTGACTTTTATTGACTTTTTGAAAATTGCATAAAGATCATAGCTTTATTAATTGGAATTGATTTCTCTTGCATTGATTGATATTATTAAGTTGTTTTGGCTATATTTGAGCAGAACAGAGGTGAATTTTGAAGGAAAAACTATTTTGAGTATTGATTTGGCCTAACTGAGGTAAGTATCTTGCCTAACTTTGCGTGGGGAAAACTAACCCTTAGGTTTTGGGTTGATGACACTATTTGAATTAAGTGGAAGACGTGTACACGAGTTGACAAGTGTGTACACGGGCTTATATGTGTTATTTGACCAGTTTAAACTATTAGGCTTCTTTCATGTATTTAATTGAAGTTATAATTTCGTGTTATATCTTTTGTTGTTAGGCTTGCTCTTACGTGCTTTATTTGAAGTTAGTACATGTTCTATCTTTTATTGTCAAGTTCTCTCTTATATACTTTATTTGTTAATTGCAATTACTTGTCGAATTCATGCCCTACCTGTTACATGCCTTAGTTGTTAATTGATTCTTAGTAATCATGTCTTTATTTATGAATTGTCATTACTTGCTATTTGATTTTGTGAGTTATTGTGTAACTTTTTCATCCGTTTGTGACTTCTTTGTGTAGCTTCGTTATTGCGTTTAATTTTGTGATACACCGTGGTTGGTTGTAGTTCTTTGTGTATTGCCTATTGTTTGGGGATCAGGTTGCACGTTTTAACAGTATTGAAATGATATGAAAAAATATGATATGGAGCGATAAGGGCGGATGATATGATATAGGTGGGATCGAGTTGCACGCTGCAATGGATATTATTATTATTGTATGAGATCGGGTTGCACGCCGCAACGGATTGATATATTGTAATTTTTATGATAGTAAAGTTATCCTATATTATGATTTTCATGGTACATTCTATGTTGGAACGGTTTACCAGTTGAACAGTTATTGTTTTTTCTTAAATTATTTCACTTGTATTTTGATCATATTTGGTTGACCGTTGTTAATCTAGTATTAAGACGATAGTGACTTCTTGTGCGAGTCATGCATTCAACATGATTTGTTGTGTCACTTTAATGTGCCAATATGTGCCTTCGTCATTACTTGGTAAATTGAATGTCAAGGTGAATTTACTTGCATAGGGTCATTATCTCATATTCTATTGAGTTGTTGGTAACATAACGATTTTAAATAAAAGGATTATTAACATGTTTTTTTCTATGTGTCTGTGAAGATAGAACTCGTTATCTCACTCGGTGCTTTACTATTTTAAATGCTTATCACATTGTTACTTTAATTGAATTCTCAAATTTTACTCATTACCCTATTGATGTTTATTTTACTTAAATTTGTTATCACATTTTATTTTTAACAAATTCTATATTTTATTCGTTAACTTACGTGATGTTCTTTTTTTAAATATGATACTTTTACTTTATCTTATTAATTTCTAAACTAAATCCATCTGATACTCTATTTGTACCTGTCCTTATTTTACTTAATTGAATTTTAAAATAAACTTATTATCTAATTTGACGCCTTACTTTATTCAAGAATGTTTTTATTCTTTATTGTGTTTAAATATATCCCTTGACCATCTTAATTGATATTGATAAGGATATGGTGTACATGGTAGCACGTGGACTTTGCCGTGCGAAGGTGATTGCTGTTGTGGGCGCGAGGTGCCATACGTGTAAGATCTGAAAATTGTAGCTCATGATTTATGATTAGGAGGAGTGGTGCCTCAAGGCAATTCTTGTTGCAAGTCCATGCATTAGGAATGATTTGAATAATTGAGTTGTTATCTGTTTTCCTTATTGAGTTCATTCATATCTCATCGGTGTTTTGATTATGTTGTTGTTCTATTATCCGTCTACTTCTTGCTGCCACATGAGTTTCTATTATTTTCTGTATTGGTTGTAAATTAATAATCTTTTTGTTGTTAGTCTTATATTGATGTTCTTTCTATTGTTTGCTTTATGTTATATCTTTCATAAGATTTTATATCTAGTATGTGTCTTGACCTGGCCTCGTCACTACTCTATCGAAGTTAGGCTTGATACTTACTAAGTACCGTTCTAGTGTACTCATGCTACGCTTCTGCATATTCTTGTGCAAATCTAGGTAGTTCTGATTGTGTTATAGGGGTGTAATATGGGCCG